CTGATGTCATACACTGCTGTGTATAATATGATTCTGATGTCATACACTGTGTATAATATCCCTCTGATGTCATACACTGCTGTGTATAATACCACTCTGATGTCATACACTGCTGTGTATACTATCACTCTGGTGTCATACACTGCTGTGTATAATACCACTCTGATGTCATACACTGCAGTGTATAATATCACTCTGATGTCATACACCGCTCTGTATACTATCACTTGGGTGTCATACACTGCTGTGTATAATATCCCTCTGAAGTCATACACTGGTGTGTATAATATCACTCTGATGTCATACACATCTCTGCATTTTTCTAAGTGATGTCACGCTGAGGATATCCATAGCTGTGTGGTGATCTTAGGCACCTGCCTAGTGCCCAGAGGATAAACAGATGCCCCAGGAAAAAATTGGGTTGTTTGGCTGCATTCCCCACCTATGTATGAAGAAAGAAGGAAGGGCCCAAACTGGTTACCAGCCATGGGCCCAGTGGGATTTTAGTCCTTTTCTTGTGATGATGTCACTGTTAACCTCAGCTTTGCTCTGTATAATGTACTATATTGTAATGTGTGATATCACTCAATGTCATGCACTGCTCTGTATGGTGTCACTCAATGTCATGCACTGCTCTGTATGATGTCACTCAGTGTCATGCACTGCTCTGTATGGTGTCACTCAATGTCATGCACTGCTATGTGTGATGTCACTCAGTGTCATGCACTGCTGTGTGATGTCACTCAGTGTCATGCACTGCTCTGTATGATGTCACTCAGTGTCATGCACTGCTCTGTATGGTGTCACTCAGTGTCATGCACTGCTATGTGTGATGTCACTCAGTGTCATGCACAGCGCTGTGTGATGTCATCCAGTGTCATGCACTGCTCTGTATGGTGTCACTCAATGGCATGCACTGCTCTGTATGATGTCACTCTGATGTCATGCACTGCTCTGTATAATGTCACTCTGATGTCATACACTGTTGTGTATAATATCACTCTAATGTCATACACTGCTGTGTATAATGTCACTCTAATGTCATGCACTGCTGTGTATAATGTCACTCTGATGTCATGCACTGCTGTGTATAATGTCACTCTGATGTCATACACCGCTGTGTATAATATCCCTCTGATGTCATGCACTGCTGTGTATAATATCCCTCTGATGTCATGCACTGCTGTGTATAATGTCACTCTGATGGCATACACTGCTGTGTATAATATCCCTCTGATGGCATACACTGCTGTGTATAATGTCACTCTGATGTCATGCACTGCTGTGTATAATGTCACTCTGATGTCATATACCGCTGTGTATAATATCCCTCTGATGTCATGCACTGCTGTGTATAATGTCACTCTGATGTCATGCACTGCTGTGTATAATATCACTCTGATGTCATTCACCACTGCGTATAGTGTCACTCTGATGTCATACACTGCTGTGTATAATATCCCTCTGATGTCATACACCACTATGTATAATATCCCTCTGTCATACACCGTTGTGTATAATATCACTCTGATGTCATACACTGTTGTTTTAATATCACTCTGATGACATGCACTACTGTGTGTAATATCATTCTATAATATGGTTTTTATATTGTGTAATTTTAAATATTAAAGTATATTTGGTAACCTTTTATTGTACCATTTATCTTTTTATACACATATATTTATTATTGTTACCTGGCATCATTCCTTTTTATTCGCTGGACTCCAAGCAATCCTAGGTGGGGATTATACCACCAGCGCGAACTACCAGGAGCAGTTGACCTGCTCCTGTCTTGTGAGTATCCACTTTTATTTTTATATATTTTATTCAAAGTTTTACGCAGAGAACACTATTTGCTGTCTCTTTTTATTTGAGTATCTTTCATATTACGGAAGGAGGAAGTATGCGAAGGAAAGTCATTCCATATCCTACAAGCGGGGATCTAAACCGCTGTACGCCCTCTATACCAGAGCGGGTTCTAGCTCTTTTAAATGTGAGTTTGCAATCAAGTTTTACATTTTAACTTCCTTTTTTCAAGATATACTACACTATTTTGGCTCTGTATTTGTTTTTATCTCTTACATATGAGACGGTCCATAAGGAAGATAATAAGCAAGACTACTGTTTCGGACCAAGTACCATTACGATTTCAACGGACATTGCCAGATAAGACTTTCTCTTTTTATCCATTGATTTTATCTGGACTTTCAGTATTATTTAAAGTTTTATCCAAGCGCAGCCCTTTCTTGTATTTTTTTACTTTTTTGTGTTTTATTCTAAGGGTTCTTGAGGGATTCCCTTATAGGGTTGCTGCTAATCTGTGTTATTTAGCGCTCACTCATTGTTCTGGTTTTATTGTGTGTAATATCACTCTGATGTCATACACTGCTGTGTATAATATGATTCTGATGTCATACACTGTGTATAATATCCCTCTGATGTCATACACTGCTGTGTATAATACCACTCTGATGTCATACACTGCTGTGTATACTATCACTCTGGTGTCATACACTGCTGTGTATAATACCACTCTGATGTCATACACTGCAGTGTATAATATCACTCTGATGTCATACACCGCTCTGTATACTATCACTTGGGTGTCATACACTGCTGTGTATAATATCCCTCTGAAGTCATACACTGGTGTGTATAATATCACTCTGATGTCATACACATCTCTGCATTTTTCTAAGTGATGTCACGCTGAGGATATCCATAGCTGTGTGGTGATCTTAGGCACCTGCCTAGTGCCCAGAGGATAAACAGATGCCCCAGGAAAAAATTGGGTTGTTTGGCTGCATTCCCCACCTATGTATGAAGAAAGAAGGAAGGGCCCAAACTGGTTACCAGCCATGGGCCCAGTGGGATTTTAGTCCTTTTCTTGTGATGATGTCACTGTTAACCTCAGCTTTGCTCTGTATAATGTACTATATTGTAATGTGTGATATCACTCAATGTCATGCACTGCTCTGTATGGTGTCACTCAATGTCATGCACTGCTCTGTATGATGTCACTCAGTGTCATGCACTGCTCTGTATGGTGTCACTCAATGTCATGCACTGCTATGTGTGATGTCACTCAGTGTCATGCACTGCTGTGTGATGTCACTCAGTGTCATGCACTGCTCTGTATGATGTCACTCAGTGTCATGCACTGCTCTGTATGGTGTCACTCAGTGTCATGCACTGCTATGTGTGATGTCACTCAGTGTCATGCACAGCGCTGTGTGATGTCATCCAGTGTCATGCACTGCTCTGTATGGTGTCACTCAATGGCATGCACTGCTCTGTATGATGTCACTCAGTGTCATGCACTGCTCTGTATGACGTCACTCAATGTCATGCACTGCTATGTATGATGTCACTCAGTGTCATGCACTGCTCTGTATGATGTTACTCAGTGTCATGCATTGCTATGTGTGATGTCACTCGATGTCATGCACTGCTATGTGTATTGTCACTCAGTGTCATGCACTGCTCTGTATGATGTCACTCAGTGTCATGCACTGCTATGTGTGATGTCACTCGATGTCATGCACTGCTCTGTATGATGTCACTCAGTGTTATGCACTGCTCTGTGTGATGTCACTCAGTGTCATGCACTGCTCTGTATGATGTCACTCGATGTCATGCACTGCTCTGTGTGATGTCACTCAGTGTCATGCACTGCTCTGTGTGATGTCATTCAGTGTCATGCACTGCTATGTGTGATGTCACTCAGTGTCATGCACTGCTCTGTGTGATGTCACTCAGTGTCATGCACTGCTCTGTGTGATGTCACTCAGTGTCATGCACTGCTATGTGTGATGTCACTCAGTGTCATGCACTGCTATGTGTGATGTCATTCTTATCCCCACTCTTGTTACTGTGTTCCTGCACTGATGCCCAACATGTTACTCTGATCTATGCTCACGACTTCTGCAGTGACTTTTAACTTAATCTTCATTTTCAACCATCAATATGATAATAATTATTATTATTAAATTATTCTTTGTGCTCATATTTTCATTTCCTGATGATTCAGATGAACTTTGCATCTGGAAATCCAGTTTTTTATAATGGACGCTTATTACATCTGTTCCACAGCTTGCGATCATTTAAAGCCAAGTCCTTTCCTCTGTTAGATCAGTAGGGATACAACGTGACTTTAACACTTTACTTACTGTACCCCTCTTTCCTGATACAGGGGTGTGGGGGCAACATGACTATTACTCTTTACTTACTGTACCCCTCTTTCCTGATACAGGGGTGTGGGGGGCAACATGACTATTACTCTTTACTTACTGTACCCCTCTTTCCTGATACAGGGGTGTGGGGGGCAACATGACTATTACTCTTTACTTACTGTACCCCTCTTTCCTGATACAGGGGTGTGAGGGGCAACATGACTATTACTCTTTACTTACTGTACCCCTCTTTCCTGATACAGGGGTGTGGGGGGCAACATGACTGTTACTCTTTACTTACTGCACCCCTCTTTCCTGATACAGGGGTGTGGGGGAAACATGACTATTACTCTTTACTTACTGTACCCCTCTTTCCTGATACAGGGGTGTGGGGGGCAATGTGACTCTAACACTTTACTTACTGCACCCCTTATTACTGACACAGGGGTGGGGGGGTGCAATATGACTTTTCCTTATAATCGATACCAAGTCTTTACTGGTAGAATTATAAGTAAAATGAGTCAGGAGTTGATTGTTTGACGATGACCGTGAATTTTATTTGGACAAATGACTTAGAACTAACATTTTCCCATGTTCTGAGACAGTAGCTCATAGTTGTAAAGGGTTAAACAGTGCAGATTATCCAGAGCCAGCTGTAGCTAGGGTTTAAAATAAATGAATAATTAAGACGTGGGGAAGTAGAGATACATCAAGGTCAATGTGCCTTCACTAATGAACTCACCTCAACCACAAGGATTCTCCGAGAACCCTTTGCGCTGTCCATTCATTTATCAATACCACAGAAAGCCTGGAGAATCGCAGTGAATGCTCTTTGCCACATACTGCATTACACGAGGATAGATTGCTGGGTCTGTTCATGGTCGAGCCATGTGAGTGCACATTAGACCGTAAGTAAACCCTCTCGGAGGACGCTGCTACACCCAGCACAAGCAAGCCATTAGACAGAGCTCTCTGCTAATATTTCAAATGAAAAGCTTTTATGTCATGGAGATAACACACAGCCTTATTAAGCAGGCGCCTTGGGCTCTTAGTTTGTAGAATAAACCTTCACTCGATAATGAAGTTATTTCAATAAAAGTACAGACCGGTCCCATAACGAGAGAAAAGAGAAATAAATGTGATCCCCCACAAACCCATCTCAATAGGGGCTCACGGAGAGCTGCAGAGTTTGCTAATAAGGGGGGAAGGATAAAGAAGGACGTCTTTAACCCCTCACTGCCAAGCTCTTATTGGAAAGTTAGATAAAATAGCAAGAATATGTTTATGGAATCCACCAGTAAAGGTTTAATCCTCAAGGGATAGACCTCCAGTGGATTACAGAAGACACCTAAACGGACACTCCAGGGGTGTCCTGGGGCTTGACCCCTAGATAGACAAAAAAATTCTAAGTCAAATCACTGGAAAACCAGTGATTCGAACCTATACTGGAATTATAATGTAGAAAAGTAAATATTAATTGGTAATAACAAAATATATACAACACAACCTCTTGTCCAGATTGAAAGGTCATCCCAGTGTGAAAACAGCCTATTAGGCAAAACCTCCCTTGTACTGATCCGTGACTACAATATACTATAGACTACTGACTTTATATTTGTTTGGTCAAAGTCTAATTACAGTATACAATATTCATCAAAAAATTCACGGAAAAAAGTATCTAATTCCAAACGTACTACCTGTTAACATCAGAATAGTGGGATACTCATTGTAACAATATAGTATCAATTTCTAGATAGGAGAATGTCTGAATATCCATATTAAACTGAATAGCTTTTTGAAGCCCTATGTTCGCTAAAATTGCTAAAGTAGCAATAACTAAGTAGTTAGACTAAAAGGATATCTCTCAGACTAATATGATGAAAACAGGTGAAAAGACTGTTATGGTAACTTTTGTCTGTAGTCTAACTCACATAGTACTTAAAAAAGAGTGGAATTAGGACAGAGAAAGGAGGTTAGGAAAATATATAAGTGCTAATGTGCAGAACCATACTTAGGATGTTGGTTGCCTGCACATAGTGAGAGTGCCCTGTGAAAGAGTGAATAAAGTGAAAAACGGAAAACCGAGATATTAGTCGATATTAGTCTGAGAGATATCCTTTTAGTCTAACTACTTAGTTATTGCTACTTTAGCAATTTTAGCGAACATAGGGCTTCAAAAAGCTATTCAGTTTAATATGGATATTCAGACATTCTCCTATCTAGAAAGTGATACTATATTGTTACAATGAGTATCCCACTATTCTGATGTTAACAGGTAGTACGTTTGGAATTAGATACTTTTTTCCGTGAATTTTTTGATGAATATTGTATACTGTAATTAGACTTTGACCAAACAAATATAAAGTCAGTAGTCTATAGTATATTGTAGTCACGGATCAGTACAAGGGAGGTTTTGCCTAATAGGCTGTTTTCACACTGGGATGACCTTTCAATCTGGACAAGAGGTTGTGTTGTATATATTTTGTTATTACCAATTAATATTTACTTTTCTACATTATAATTCCAGTATAGGTTCGAATCACTGGTTTTCCAGTGATTTGACTTAGAATTTTTTAGATAAAATAGCAGTTTGGGTTTTAGAGGTCTCACAAAGATCTGTTATTTTCTTTTTTCAATCTCTTGTTTATGTGTGAATGTTACATTCACCTCTTTTTCTCTCTTTCTTTCCCCTTTCCTTATATTCCTTTCTTGATGTTCCTTCTCTGTTATATTTCTATCTATTCTCAGTTGGTTATTTGTTTTCTTATTTTCCCTTAATCTACTCTCCCTTTCTTGCTGTTTTTTTTTTCTCTTTTAGCTTTGAGTTCTCTCTCTTTATCTTTCTTCTCAATTGTTTTTGTGTTTTCTTTTTTTTATTATCTTTTAGTGTAAAGCTGATTAGCTCTGACACACACATCTTGCTGTAGAGGGGAGAAGTGACATTTTAAGTCTCTCTGCAGAGATACAGATGGACAGAAGGTAGTCCTGACACAGAATGTGTTGTAATAACAGCTGGAGCAATGACACAAACACAGATTAACAAACAGATAGATAGATAGACATACAGATAAACAGATAGACAGATTGACAAACCGATAGATAGATTGATCGACAGATAGAAAGATAGATAGATAGATATATAGATAGACAAACAGATAGATAGATTGACAGACAGACATACAGATAGATAGATAGATAAACAGACAGATAGATAGACAGATAGATAGATAAGCAGATAGATAAATAGATAGACAGACCGAAAGACACTGACAGTAAGACAGATAGACAGATTCAGACAGATAGACAGACAGACAGTAAGACAGACACTGACAGTAAGACAGACAGACAGATAGACAGACAGTAAGACAGATAGATAGACAAACCGATAAACAGATAGACAGATTGACAAACAGATTGATCGATCGATCGACAGATAGATAGATAAACAGATAGATAGACAGACAGACAGTAACACAGACAGACAATAAGACAGACAGATTCGGACAAACAGTAAGACAGATAGACAGATTCAGACAGACAGATAGATAGACAGACATACAGTAAGACAGACACTGACAGTAAGACAGACAGACAGACAGGTAGACAGACAGACAGTAAGACAGATAGATAGACAAATCGATAAACAGATAGACAGATTGATAGATAGATAGATAGACAGACAGACAGATAAATAGACAGACAGACAATAACACAGACAGACAATAAGACAGACAGATTCAGACAAACAGTAAGACAGACAGACAGACGGATAGACAGACAGTAAGACCGAAAGACAGATTCAGATAGATAGATAGATAGACAGACAGACAGTAGGACAGACAGTAACACAGATAGATTAGATATTTTTCACTAAGATGCATAGTCGCTATCGCTCACTGCGAACACGCTTAGTTCAGAACCCTCCTTGCTTGGCATTTTAGCATTGATGGAGGTACACAGGGCAGTAAATAAACAGCTCCCTGATAGGCACAGCTACAGCTTTACCTCTGGCCAACAGCATCGGTACGTGAGCTTGAATCTACAATATTAAATGCTTTTTGTCAATTTTACCATACAGCACATAACATTAACGTGGAATGAAGAAAATAATATTTAAATAATTATAATAATAATAAAGCTCTCCTTTCACATTATCAGCGTTAGATGGGCAGCCTGTTGTTATATTTCTGGATTAAGATTACCGCTATTACAAGCAGTTGAACGTACAGAATAAAAAATGTATCTATTATTAAATCTGGCCAATTAGGTTGCTACAATCATCAGAACCCCTGACAGATAAACCGTAAAAACATTGTTTTCTGGAAAAGTAGAAATCTGCAGTTTCTACATTGTAGCAGAAAACAAACCAGGAAATGAAATTCTCATATAAGGGGGTAACCCCTAATCAGCCACAGACATTAGATAATTGGTTACCCCTCAAATAGCCGGAGGGATGTGTGCTACAAAACGTCAAACCATAAAAATAATGATAAAAAGAGAACATTTGCAAATTCCAAAGGTGCCGTGACGGCTTTCATCAATCATTCCTACTGATATTTTATATTAATTTCTCTGCAAAATATATCACTATAGCAAAGCTCCGTACAGCAGCGTGTGGCTGGGGTGATAACAGGACAAAATGTGGGCTTTAACCATTGCAATTCCATAAAGACTTCTTCATCCCTTGGCATCACCCCTTACACCCCCTCCCATGCTACCGACAGATATTATGTGAAAAGTACAAACTATTTATTTTTACTAATCTTAAAATACATTTTGCTTCAAATAAACTATATACCAAATCGTCCAACATTTCAGATTGACAAAAAGGGGCGTAAGTGGTGGTGTGACAAGGGGCGGGGCTGTTCTGAGTGTGAGTGGGGGGGGGGGCGGGCTAGTGGGGCTGTTCTGAGAAATTTTAGGAGACAATTTATAGAACTAAAATGCAATTTAGAAGAAGAACAATGTATCTAATTTACACAGACTGATTTCTAAACACATTTACTGTAGTTTAAGGACACATTACTGGGGGTATTATTGCTGCGGAGTTCTGTTATACACTCAGACACATTACTGGGAGTATTATTGCTGTGGGGCTCTGTTATACACTCAGACACATTACTGGGAGTATTATTGCTGTGGAGCTCTGTTATACAATCACATTACTGGGAGTATTATTGCTGTGGAGCTCTGTTATACACTCAGACACATTACTGGGAGTATTATTGCTGTGGAGCTCTGTTATACACTCAGACACATTACTGGGAGTATTATTGCTGTGGAGCTCTGTTATACACTCAGACACATTACTGGGAGTATTAGCTGTGGAGCTGTCTGTTATACACTCAGACACATTACTGGGAGTATTATTGCTGTGGAGCTCTGTTATACACTCAGACACATACTGGGAGTATTATTGCTGTGGAGCTCTGTTATACACTCAGACACATTACTGGGAGTATTATTGCTGTGGAGCTCTGTTATACACTCAGACACATTACTGGGAGTATTATTGCTGTGGAGCTCTGTTATACACTCAGACACATTACTGGGAGTAGTATTGCTGTGGAGCTCTGTTATACACTCAGACACATTACTGGGAGTATTATTGCTGTGGAGCTCTGTTATACACTCAGACACATTACTGGGAGTATTATTGCAGTGGAGCTCTGTTATTACACTCAGACACATTACTGGGAGTATTATTGCTGTGGAGCTCTGTTATACACTCAGACACATTACTGGGAGTATTATTGCTGTGGAGCTCTGTTATACACTCAGACACATTACTGGGAGTATTATTGCTGTGGAGCTCTGTTATACACTCAGACACATTACTGGGAGTATTATTGCTGTGGAGCTCTGTTATACACTCAGACACATTACTGGGAGTATTATTGCTGTGGAGCTCTGTTACTGGGAGTATTATTGCTGTGGAGCTCTGTTATACACTCAGACACATGACTGGGAGTATTATTGCTGTGGAGCTCTGTTATACACTCAGACACATTACTGGGAGTATTATTGCTGTGGAGCTTTGTTATAC